CTGGATGCTCTGCAGCCAGTGGATAGCTGGAATATCCCTGATAGTGCCTTACTATTGATTTCTTAATGACTCCAGTCAGCATGTTGTGCATTAGAGCTATGCAAATTCAGAGGGACAGGCAGAAGCAGGTCTCAGGCTTTCACCCCCTTGTAAATCTGTTGTCCAAACCCAAACAAACCAAAGCTATAATAAAATTAGCTTGGAGTCTTTCCTGGGTAGCATCTGTGCAGACTGGGAATCTGCTGCTGCCAGACAGATGATGATATTAGCGGGTACAGAATGAGGCCATGGGGTGTTAGAGACCATGGGCCAAGCCAAACACTGGATGCAAATGCTCCCAGGCTCTGGGAAAACCCTGACCCAGGCACTGACTGGACAGCATGGCCGGGGCTTATCTCTGCAAACTGAGGAAAGCAGTGTGGCTTCCACTGTGGACAAGTTCCAGCACAGTGTGAAAATCTGGGGCTCCAGCATCTTACTGGCACCTTTTTCACTGCCTGGCCACAGCTGTGATGGCTCACATCCTTTCACATTGCAATGGCAACGTCTGATGTGTCACCTGTGCAGAGCTGTGTCCACCCTGGGAGGAGAGGCAGACCTTGACTGCAAGACTGTGCCTGCTGCTCCCCTGCTTGACTGCAAGTATCCCCACATGGCCTCTCAAGTGGAGAAAATATTTGCTGCCAGCATTAGGTTTAGATCTAAAGTCCTTGCTTGAAAGCCCTTGACTTGGGACAACTCACATGAGGAGGAACTGTGCTTGGACGCTCGAGGTCATCAGCTTCTCCTTGCCAGAACAGAGCAAGAAAAGCAAACAGCTCCTGCAGCCCTTCTCTGGTTTGGGTTTTGTTACACTTTCCAAATGCATCAGTCAAATATTCATGAAGGATCAGCCAAATCTTTCCCAGGCTTACACTCAATTCCAAATAAGCCTTGGCCTTACTGACACTCCACAGAGGTCTGATTGCAGTGGCAGGAGGAAGAAACATGGAGTGTGAGGTTTAATGAGCCCTGTGCTGTGGCAGCTCATCATCTCTGTAGTGCTGGTCCAGATCCCTTTTAAAGGCAGACTGGGCTCCCGTGGTCGCTCTGCCCCTCCCCTGTGAGTCACTGGAGCACGGATCATACATGTACATAAGTGCTAATGACCGTGTTTATGTCCCAGCTGTATTTGCTAGGCAACATTTGACTCTCATACGATGCAAAGGTGGGAAGAGTGAATTAGCTTGCTTAAACCTCTCCTGTGTTCATGGAGGTACCCAGCAGCACCCAGGATAATGAATGCACCATCAGCGACAGCTCTGTGTGGCCCAACTGAGCAGAGCCATCCCACGGGAAAGGCACTGGCTGTGTCCTTGTGCCTGCTGAAAGCAGCCTGCAATATCTGCTGAATGCTCAGAAATTAGGGGCAAGAAGAATGCAGATGATGGGTAGTTTTTCTGTTTCATAACTCAGGAGTTCAGGGGTGTTAGAGGTTGTTGGGAACTCTAAAGATAATTACCTGCTTTCCAAAATTCCTTCTCAGGGGACATCTAAATGCTCTTTCAGCAGTTACAACCATCCCCTACCAGTGAAGAAAGAAATGGTGTGATGTGCATGCAAGGGCTGAGCCCAGATATATGGAGAGCTGCTGGCTGCCCCAGCCCCACTGCTCCAGTGTCTCCTGACTGGCTTTTGCACAGCACTGGTGCAGTGTCTGAGGAGTCCTACAGCTGTCTGCCATCACCCAGTGCTGGGGTGATTGCCAGGGTGCTCCCAGACACTCCTCTGTGTGTGGGGCCAGGGCTGCCCCCCTGCTGCCAGAGGTGCCACTGTGCAGACTGATGGTGCTGCTGAAGGCACAGAGCACATCCCCACAGCTCCCTCCCTTTCAGCCAGCTGGGAGGCAGCAGGTTTGGCAAGCAGGGCAACAAAAATACCATCAGGGGATTGCCAGCAGGCCGAGGGGTCCGATAGCTTCCCCTTTGCTCTGACCTTAGCTGCTGAGCACTCGGGGGCTCAATTGGGATAACGTTTCTCCTCCCCGCTGATCCTGCTTAGCGGGCACATTGCTGGGATGGCAGAGCCACCCTGACCTCCCAACACCCAGCGCAGCCCTCGGCTCGAATTCAGGGCACCTGCTGCCGTAAGGCAGCTCAGGAAACCTGGCCAAGGGGCTGCCACAGCCTGAGCCCCCAGCAGTGGGCCCAAAGCCTCCCACAGCAGATCCTGCACTGCCGTGTGCGGCATAGGCAGTACAAGGGGGGAAAGCAGCAAAGCACGTTCTGCAGCCCCCTGGCTACCCTGAGCTGGCAAAAACCAGGAGCCCTGTGAGGCACCCATGGATGCTCAGAAGGATATGGGATCCTGCACTTGGGACAGAGGTGCCACCTTGCCCTGAACTCCCATGCTGTCTCCCAAGGGGCACATCTTGTCCCCACACCAGAAGAAAGGGACTGACATTATCCTCCAGCCCCACAGGTTTCCCCAGAGTCAGCACTATGACACCATGAGCCGCCTGTCACCACTGGCCCTGGGAGAGGTCTGGGGGTCACCATCACTCTCCCACCATGACAAGGGAGGAACAGGATGATTTGACAAGAACCCAACCCTGCCGAGTCCTGGGAGCTCCTGCTGCTTTGGAAAAGAAAAGGATTTAGCTGAACTGGTCAAAAACAAGAATTTTAGCCATAAGTTTTGATTTTTAAAAACATTTCCAACTCCAGTTTCTAATTTAAATTCAAAAGGAAAAAAACTCAAAATGCTGTCATTTAAAAAAATCTGGTTTATTAAAATACTGGTGTAATGAAAATCAAAAGTTCTTTTGTGCTTGAAATCCTTACCCTAAAAACAAATGCTGTCTGTAACAAATGCATTTTTAATAGCAAAAAAAAAAAAAAAGAAACCAAAATCAGTTTTTTATGCTAAACTTTTATTTTGGTCAGTCTTTGGTCCTATCATTAATCTGACCCCGTCCAGGATAGAGGGAAAACTTCAACATTGAGAACGATAGCAAGCATGGGAGTGGGGCCTGGAAGGAAAGCCAGGACAACTGGGCTAGAGCTTGGCTGCCTTCAACCAGATAGCTCCAGGGGAAGGCAGGGCAGGAGGAAGACTTTAATAATTAGTCCTGGGCTCTCTGGAGCATTTCCAGTTTGCAAATTACCACTGCTTTATTGGGCTCTAATTCAATCTGCTCCAGGACATTGCTTGCAAAAGCCTTTTTGAAGATGAGGTGTGGGAAGTGCCCTGGCCTGGGGCTCACATGTGGCCCGTGGTGGCACAGCCTGGATGGTGCCTGCCCTGCCTGGGTTCCACCCCCCTTCCCCAACCTTTGCAAGAGAGCAAGATGTGACCCCAGGGTTGCTGGAGATCCCTGACTGCATTAAGTGGCATGATAAATCCCACTTTGTGACAAGATATATACCTGTTAGTGTGTGTCTATAGGATCAGGTTTGCTGGAAATCGGGGTCTTTTGGGCAGCCTGGGCAGTGATGTCTGGGTGAGGGGCTGGGGAGCTGCTCTGTGCTGGGAGAGGGAAGAGGCTGAAAGGACAGTGAAGCCCCAAGTGCCATCAGAGCTGCCTGTGCTCACAGCCCAGCCTAGCACCAGTTCAGCAGCCCAGGCAGCCCCTCCCTGCTCCCCATGGGATAACCTAAAAGCTCCCAGGCTCCCTTCCCAAGATCCTCTGAGCGGAGTATGGTTTTCCAGTGCAATTGGACTGGGATTGCATCCATGCCCCATGGGGAGGTCTGGCTTGCACAGACACGCGTGCACACACAGCCTTGTGCCAGCGGTGTCCACAGCAACCCAGCCTCCCAAAAACTGCCTCCTTCCTCTAGCAGCTGAAAAAGCAGTTCCTAACTAAAACATGGCAAGTCTAATTTTTGGGTGACAGCCCACAAGATGGGCAGAGTTTGACTCAAAACCACACGTGAAAAGTGTGTGGTTGGACATTGCCACCCTCAGAGATGCATTTTTCCTGTAAGTGTGACCCCTTGGTTTAAAATCAGATGATTTTCATCAAAGGAGAGAAGAAATTGCATGAGATCCTATAATGGGACTAATAAAGAGTGCAAGACTGAAACCCCCTGCCCCTAAACCCTAAAAAAGGGCTAGCCTTGGCTCTTTCCCCCACACAGGGCAGAAAGTTCTTGTGCCTTCTGAGTTCACTTCTGAGAATGAAACACTCCGGCAAACAGGGTGAAAGGAGAGGGTGGAGAAGAGGGAATGAAGAGGATGAATGGGAGGGATGCGGCCCTGTTCTTATCTGATGGCTGCTGAGTGAGGCATGATGAATTCCCCAGCAACAGGTCTGTTTTGTCAGAAGGCCTCTTATCAGATGGCACAAGCCCAGTGGTCTGGCCACGGCCATTAATCACCCACCAGCAGCTCTCCTCCAAAAAGTTTTCCCCTCCTTTTCCCCGTAGGCCCCAAGCCCCGCTCCCATAAGCTGCAGGAAGAAACTTCCACCCAGCCAAAGCCCCCCACCCCCAGAGGAGCACAGGAGATGGCCCCGAGGTGGGGATGGTGGAGACCTCACTCCCTTCAGATAAGGGACTGGAAGTGGGTGTGAGGTGTGGGAGGGCAAACCAGTGCCAGGAGCTCTCTTCCACTCTGTGTTGAGTGCCCGGGACACAGTGGCAGGGCCACACTGCCGGGTTCAGCTGGTGTCCAGCCCCGAGCTGGGAGGAGCAGCACTGCAGGGTGAGCAGGCACCCCAGACTTACTGACAGCCCCCTTGTCTCATCTCTGCCACCACAGCCAAAGCTGCAGAGCCTCTGGCCCAGCATCACTCACGCCAGGGGCTTTGGGGAGCAGGTTTGGTGGCCGGTTTGGCTCCCAAACCAGGGGCCCTGGCACCCCCCTTGCCTGTACTCTCTAATCCCCAGGCTGCTGCTCCATCCTCCCTGCACAGCAGCTGCTGGCTGCCCGAGCTGCACAGGGCTCTCAGCTCGCTCCATTTTCTCACGGTGCTTTGTCTGCAGCTGGTGGTGGGTGACAGGCTCTGCGAGTTGAGCTCTAGGAAGCCTCTTTTTATTTTATAACCGGTCTTTCCTTGTCTTTGCTGGGTTAGCTGTGTCTCAGGAGTGCAGATGCCCCCACCCCAGGGTGACAGGAGGAGCCATGAGAAGCAGCTTTAATGCAAAGCAATTTGTCAGAACAAAAAGAGAAGATGCAAATGTGCATATGTGTCATCTTGTAAACTATGTGGGCATATCAGAGCCCAAACATCAGGGTGGCCCCAGAAGGTGGGAAGATGCCTCATGATCAAAGATGTCCTCTGCCCGCATGACAACCCCTTTCAGCACTGAACTGTGCACAGCCCTGGATCTCTTGGGGACACCAGTGGGCTGCAACCCTGGAGGGCTGCAAACTGTTCCAGCAGTGAGACTTTCTCCATGTATCACCATGATGGCACACTGGAGAGAAGTGCTGGATACCAGCTCAAACATGGACACAGATCAAATCCAGGCAGGGGTAACCAGTATCTCTGAGGCATCCAGGAATGAGAGTGGTGTTTGAAAGGCCCCAGAGATGAGAGAGGCCAGGGGAGAGGGAAGAGGGGGATGCTCATTCCATCTGGCCACAGATATCTCAGCCAGACCAAAAGTGACTGGAGACTAGCTTTTCCAAGCCAGAGGAGTCACCAATCCACTGACACATCTTCATGCAGCATGCAACTGCCTTTTGCATGCTTGAAGTGTGCAGAGGTGCAGTTGCATGAAGGATGCAGATGGGGCTTTTTAAGGGTCACACTGCCTGGAAGCACAGCAGGAGTGTTCCTGTTCTAGTGCTCTGCAGGATGCAACTGGAGTGAGATATCTGCCCCTGTCCCTGGCTGCAGTGGGACTGCAGGCTGGAAAATTTCAGTCAGGAGGAGAAAGGAGGGGTCAGTGTCAGCAGCTGGCTGTGGTGTGTTGGTGTTCTCTTACCTCCCTCCAGAGCCATTCCAGAGCTGCTGGAGGAGCTGTCTGCGTGCTTTGGGTCTGGTGCCATCAGCATAAAGGTGACATTTGTCCCTCGGTCACACTTTCCCCATGCCCAGATGGTGCAAATCCTCGCTGTCCCTGTGTCAGCTGAGGCATGGAACAGGGATGCCAACTTGGCGGCTGACACCGAAGCCAGACGTGGTGGGGTGCAGGCAGGGGATTGCCATGTGTGACTCCCACTTCAGGGAGCTGAGCACATCCACCCTCCCTGGGAGACTCTAGAACTTGCTGTCTTTTGTCACAAAGAGAACAAACAAGGTTCTTCTGACTCCTGACATCGCATTCTGTGAGACCTCACATGGGACTGCTGCAGCAGTAGGCCACTGTGGAATGGGGGTTTACTGCCAGAAGATTCACCCTGGAAAAGCAAGTCTTTGACCCAGAGTCTGACTAAAGGTGAGGTCCATCACTGCATGGTGGCAATCTGTTTGCTCAGCTCCTGGTGGAATCCTGGGTTGTGCCAGTGAGGCCAGCACTGGGCCCCACTGTGCCGTGCCAACTTGATGTCACAGGAAGGAAAAACAGCCGTGAATGAGAGCTCATGGCCATGAGTAATGGAAAGCAGTTGTCTCTTGTAATGCCTGGCCATAAAATGTCAGATAGATGTAAAAGTTATAAATACATCACAGAGCAAATAATTACAGCATGGCTCTAACTCCTTGCTTCAGGAGAGCTGCTGACCTCCCTGGGCAGTGCCCAGCCCTGGAGAGATGAGCCAGAACAACCTGAGGATGTGACCTAAATGTTTGCAAACTCCCTTTGCTGGCAAGTGCTCATCTGCTGCCTCTGGCACTGTGGGTGGGTGCTGGTGCTTGCAGGGGATCTCAGAGCTGCCCAGTGCATTGCTGGGGTGAGATAGAGTTGTGAGATATCTGAGCTGTGTTGAAGGATGCTGTGTGCCTCATGGTGTGATTAGGCAGGTGAGAGCCAAGGGCAGACAGGTGCCCAGCTGTGCTGACCATGGGAAGCAGCAGCCTGTAAGGTTTTAGGGGGAGTATGTTGTGATGGCAGGGAATTTTGCAGCATGTGGGAGGAACAGCTGTACAACAGAGCACCATGGATGGGGTTGTTCATGTACCTCCGAGTGAACATTCGTTGAAGGAGGAACAGAAAAAGTCCAGATGTGTCCATCCTACCACCACTATGCAAATGACACTGACACAGGCATCTGGACAAGGACTTAGGATGTTCAGCATCCCCTTGGTACCAAACTGATGGGTGCAGCATTCCCAAAGCAAGTGCCTGTGGGTGCTCAGAGCAGCCAGGGTCCTGCCAGGGACCAGCACTGTCAGAGGGGCTGGATACACTGCCCTCAGTGCCAAGAAATTGCCCTCCACTTGCTTGCCATTGTGGTGGGATGCCAGAAATTTCCCATATATATATATATATATACACACACACACATACACTCATACATCTATACATGGCTGTAACAGTTGAAGCAGACCCAAAACCCTTATAGAACATTCCTGAGAAACCTCTCGCTTCTGCAGTGCCAAGACTTCAGAGCATGGTCTCAGAGCTCCAAAGGTACGACTCAAGGGTGAAACACAAGCCTAGCATGGAATTCCTGCAGGAGGGTTTCACAGAAGGGCAAGATGCAGAGGAGAAGGAGGGCTCAGAGGAACAGGTGCAGGCAGCCTTGCAATGCTTCCCTCTGTCTACAAATACACCAGTGGAAATAGTGAGAGGAGCAGAGAGCAACGATGCAATAAATCTTTTAAAAGAAACAATAAGAGCAGGACAGCTGGCATAAAAAGGAACATGTTCCCCTGGCTACCAGTGGCTTTAGGAATGAAAAAAGTGGAGTGAGTGAGGGACAACATAGTGGCAGGGTAAAAACAATGATCCCAGAGAAATTTAAATCCTGGGATCCTGAGAAAGACTCCTGGGAAAACTGGGTGCTTTTCAAAACACTCAGAGGAGAGTTAGTCTCTGTCCAGAACACCATGTCAGGAAAAGAAATGCCAGAGATTGTGTTGCTTAAGCTAGCTACAGAAGGTAGAACAGCAAAGAATATGTGAAGTTTTGGGTGTACTGAGGAGGTATGGGAGAAGAGGCTGCTGAGGGAACAAGTGTGGAGGAAAACCACCCATCTGAGCTCATCTGTGCACTTTACACATTGGTGTTTCTTTCCAAGACTCATGGGGTTTATGCCTAGCCTTCAGTTCCCAGCACCTTAGCCAGAGAAGCACCACTCTAATACCCAGCTCCAGCCTTGGCTCACTGGTGTCTTGGGATGAGTTTTCACTTCATAATAATCTGTTTCCTTCTCTGTCCAGCTGTGAATTTGCTACTATTTAACTTCTCTGCCTTATCCTCTTGGTCTGGTATTGCCAGAGACTCTAACACAGGCTCCTGTACTCCTCCTGAGTCTCCCCTTCTCCAATGCACAGCCCCTTTCCAACATGAAATGAGAAGCAGCTTCCCCCCAGGCTGCCCCTGTGTATGCCTCCAGCTTGTTCTCTTGGCTACATTTCTGTAGAGGAACATGCTGCAATGCTAAAGCTGTGGTAATGAGTAACACACTTCTTCAATGGGACATGGCTTTCTGAATGCACTGTGCTTTACAGCTACCATAAATAATGAAATCAGTATTTGTAAACTATACTTTAAGGAATCCATTCTTTTCCAGAGATTTCAAAAGCATGTCATTTTCCAGATTGAGAAGTTTGCCAGTTCATCTATATTTAGAATTTCTCACTCTACTGATGTGGTCAAGACAGTCCTTAACAGAAAAGTGTGGCTGCATGCCTCGAAGGTATAAACAGCCAGACATGTGATGGGAAATGCTTCAGAGGTGAGCCCTGCAGACTCCTAGACATCAAAGTTTTTGGGTGGTGAAACTGCAGGGACAAATCAGTGTGCAGGCTGGGAAAACAGGCACTGAAAAACATCTTAGAAGTTACTTTTCTTGGAGACCTGAAGAGTCCTTAAAATAGTGTCACGTCCAAGGAAATGAGACAGATCCTGCTGAGGGAAAACTGGCAGTGTGGTCTCAGCCAGAAATGCACTTCCTTGGAATCCTTACTGTCTGTGAACATAAAAGTGGGAGGAAAAACCAACCAAACAAAAAAACCCACAAGCAAGCCAGGCTGCCCAAGAAGCTCCTCCGGGCTGTGTGGCGGTGCCAGAGCCACCAGTTCCCTTAGATGGTTTCTCTTGCACCCCCCATCCTCATCCCTCAGCCACAGCAGAGCCCTGAGCAGGTGCAAGCCCCACCATTGTGATAAGGGAAAACAGACCCAAACCTGAAGACCTCCCAGTATTTGATGTCTCCCAAACTTGGTAATGTTATGGATCCAGCTGACTGTGACCCTGCCCTTTGCCCTGCCTCCAGAGCAGCACAGCACAATCTGGTCAAGCTGCTGGGACTTAGTTCTTTGAGGCCTCTATTCCTAACTTGTTTAGTATAAATCAAACTTTTACTGTACTTAACATTTCAAAGATGCTCAATTTGATAAATTTCCTTCCTGTGTACATGCCTTTTTTTCTATTAAAAACTGTTGATTCTTTTGCTTAAAATGCATGCATCTATTTATTTAGTTACTAGATAACAAAACTGGGTCATGCCTTGCTGCTGCAGTCTTCTAATTTTAATTAAGATAATGGACCTCAAGTATTTCTCTACGTATTCAACTTAAAAGTTCTTGCCTTTATCTTTCACTTTTCAGGCCCCAACTTTATGTTCCCTGCAGAGAACACCAGCTGCACAGGAGTGTTTCCCCCACTCCACAATGAGACCTTGTCCTTGTTTGAGATACGCTGGCCAACCCCCATGGGAAGGGGTCATCCTATGTAATTTCAGGTCCCCTCTTGGCCACTGTGTCCTGTCTCCAGCTGCAACTCTTCTTAGGTGCTCCCAGGAAAGATGATAAACCCCTGGCTGTGTAGAACCAGTGCCACTTTTGGAATGAAGGGCCTCCCTGACTCTTGCAGGTGCTTCAGTTAGCTTTCAAATTTCTCTCTGCTAAGCTGGGCCCCTTTTGCCTCTCATTTCAGGGCTTGCCAAGCCAGGCCCTTTCTTGGCCTCTCCTTGTGCCCCCACATTCTCCTCCAGGTGCCAATTTCAGCATTGATCACTGCATCCTTGCAGCTCTCCCATCCTTCTTCAGACTCCTTAGGCCTGAGCTGGGGCTTGGACTCAAGACGACTCCCAGGTCTTCCTTCAAACCATGACTTTCCCAGGCACCCCATACCTCCTGGGCTGACCACTGGGGACCCATTAGGACTGGCTGTGATCCTGCAGCCAGGTGTGACCCCATTCCTGGCTGCAGAGGGTGAAGTGTACACCCTGGGGCAGCCCCTCTCTCTGTGCTTTCACACCTGGAGGACCAAACAATGGTGTTCAATACATCCCAGGCATGGACAGCCCTGCACTGTGGACACCGAGCTGCTGTGGCAGCATCCTTGCAGCCCGTGGGCAGAGCTCACACAAGGGTTTGCAGCTCCCCAAGCAGAAATTACCCCAGCTCTGCTCTGAGCTGCCTGTTGCAACAGGAGGCAGCCACACACAAACACCTCCCTGCATCCTCTCTTCCTCTCAGATCTGTTTTTTTCAAACCATGAGACTCCCATCAAACCTGGCCCTGCTCCAAGGTTCACACAGGCAGTGGTGGGGTGGGAGGAGGAGGGAAGCAGAGAGCAATCCATAACCTTTGTAGCACTCTTGAGAGCAGCTGTCTGGCAAATGTCAAGCACTGTCTAGGGCTATTTTGGGCACTTTATTTTTATAAAGGATGCTTTGAGCTGGGGGAAGGGTGCAAAGGGGGTTTTCTCATTGCCAGCACCTTAAAGAATAAAATCCCAGGGAGGAAAATTCAAGAACCCTCCTTGGTCATGTGGCTGATGCCACATCCCATTGCAGCATTCCTAAGGCTCTCAGACAGGCAGGGCATTGGAGAAGGGCCTTGGCTTCTCTTGTGATTGGAGACCTCCTGGAGGAGCTGACACCCCTTGGGATCCAGGGTGAAGATGTGGCTCATGCCGTGGACTTGCAGGTACCATCCCTGCAAGGGCCACCAGCACCCCATGCAGCCCAGCCCCAGGAAGATTCCGGGGTGAGAAACCACCAGCTTTTGAATGTTCCTCCTAAGGAGTCTTATAAATATCATCTTAATTCTGGGTGTTTTCCACTGCTGTCCCATTGAACCCTCCGAGCCCCCAAGAGCCCTCAGACTCCTTCACTTTTAGCAGAGCCAAGACCCAG